CGAATGTTGATAAAACGTGTAAAATAAAACGAGCAGATAAATATGCTTCGGGGACCGTATTTGACCCGCGGGCCATAGGTTGAAGATTCTGGCTCTATCACAATAACTATAAAGCAGCCGAAAAGAGGAAGAATATCATAGCTGTCATATGATGAGTTATATTCAAAGATTATTACATTACAGAAAACGGATTTATAGATCAAATAAATTCTGATATATATTCTGGTGTATAGATCAAATAAATTCTGATGAATAAATATATTGTATAAATTTTAATATATTTTCTTAATAGATACAGATGTATTTTTAGATTTACAATCAACAAAATATCAAATAATAAATAACTTTAATTTTACGACGAAGAGATTAAAAGATATATTTTACGCTGCTATAATTTTGTAAGATATTTGTTTAACTAAAATAAATGAATTAATTAATAAATAAGAAAATAGTGTGATAAAGTACATAAAATTTATATATTTTTTAAGATAGTTTTAAAGAATCGTATAAACAACCTTTCAATAATGTAAATATTTCTTTGAATGTAACCTATCAGATGTAATATTTAATTTTAATATATATAGAAATGGAGATATACTCGTAATATAACTATAACTATATAACTAATATAGATTAAATTTTAAGTTTATAAGATTTAAGATAAGATTTTAAATTATATATATATATAATTTTAAAAAATTTTTAAACTATATACAGGTAACTAAATAATCTTTGTATTTATTTGAACAGCACCTTCTTCATATTGCTCTTTTTTGGCGTGCCTATTGCATATTGCCACCACGTCAATTAAGGGAACGAAAGCACACACAATAATAAAATTTAATATAAAAATAATTATATAAATAGCTACAATATATTTTAAAGTATATTAAGACATTTACATTATTCATATTTAATTTAAATGTTTACTTAATTAATTATTTTAATTAAATTAAAATTCTCTGAAATTTAATATTTTTAATTTAACAAATAAAACAAGTTAATTATTTCTGAAATGCATTAGATAAAAACAACCAGAACTTTATCATCAGAGTAGAACATTTTAGTAATTTTTTATGAGTTTAAATTATATTTTCTACAATCATCAATATTTAAATATTTAAGAAAAAATATCATTTGCTATATAATATAATTATGAATGATATATTTCTCAAGCTAACTATTAACTTGTAAATAATGTAAATGTCAATAATAGAGGAGATTTTATATTGGAATGAATAGCATCTTTTAAAAGGAGATTATTAACTATATTAATTTTTTACTGTAAAATTTGTCGATAACAAATGAAAAATATAGTTAATAAAGATTTATTTAAATATATTTTTATTGATTTATAGACAAGATAACTAATAAAGGGATTCTAATGTGATATATCTTTTCCAAACTGATGATGAAAAAGCGATTATTTAATTTTTTAAACTTTTTTCAAACGAGTGCTGCATTTATATTCAAGAACTTTTAAAAGTGATGTTATATAGTTTTTAAAAATTTAATAGAAAATTTTACAAGTTAATATATGTTTCTTAAATTTATTAATATTTAAACTAACAAAAAGACAGCTAGACGCTTGCGTCTCCTTATAAGTGTGATTGATGTCAAATATATGCTATGTTGTTTATTAAACTGCATTAGAAATACCAATAATATCGCTTGTAGTGTAGATGATGATTATTGTTAATGCGTAATTTATTCAAATCAACGTTTATAAATACATTTTAAAAGTAATTTTCTAGTTTGTCTCTTTATTTCTTATAGAAACGAAAAGCATTTTATATTAGTTTATTTAAAGGGAATGAAATAGTAAAATAAAATAGAATTTTATAAGTAAAAATTTATCAGATTTTCTTAATAATAAACAGTTTTTATTAAAATACATCTAAGTGCAACGAAAATAAAAAGTGATTATAAAAAATTAAATAAATAAAAGATTCGAGAAAATGTTATGTTAATAATACCAGACTTTTTAATATGACACTGTTGATTTATTATCTAACTTACTAAGACTTTTTACATTAAAAACATGGCCTAATTTTAGTCTATTTGATACAGGTATGCCCTGCTTAACGTCAAAATACCCGCAAGTTTATAATGCAGCAGAGAAATTTATAACCTCCCGTATCTTTTCTGTGCCTAGATACATAAATAATTATCATTGTGTTACATATAGATTATATTAATAGTAGACTATACCCTGTAAATCTGTCTCAATACACTGTATGAAGTCGCTTAAAGAACGATATATTTCCAGAAACGTATTCCCGTTATTAAGACAGTCATATCTGCTCATCTTGTACAATATAAAAATCATATTCTAATGCTTTAAAAACACAAAAGTGAGAACTTAGCTTTTACGTTTTAAATTTTATTTTTCCGAAATTTATTTTACTTAAGTACGTAAAAAATAAAATAAAATTTTCGAACATAAAGTTGAATAAATAGATATTTGAAAGCAATTCTCATTTGAATTAAATTTCACGTTTTAATTTTTTACGCAATAAAAACTGGATCTAAGTGGTCAATAATGTGAAAATATTATAGAATTTTTTCGTTTACAAATATATTTTAGTATATGATTTATGATGTAGACAAGCTATTAAATTCTACTTTCACTTTTCTCGAAATGTAAATTTGAAAGAATCATAAATCATTATTTTCAAACTAAAATATCAATATTTTTAAAAATTTTAATCGTAATTATATTTTTTTACATTGACGAAATGCATTTTATCGTCTAAGTGAGGCGATATGCATTTAAAATAGAAGGGCTTAAACCGCTTTTAGTTATTTTTTATAGTATTTAATGAGCATTCTTGTTCCTGTTCAATGATTCAGATAAATTACTATCTTCTGGATACATGCTTACGTTTTTCTATCCAGTCGAGTTATGATAATTCAGATAGACTGAATAGCCTCATTTTGTAGGAATTAATTTTTCTGTATAAAGATATTAGTGTCTTGATTGGGTCATACATTTTAATAAAGGATCGTTTCTGAAACTATACTAAAATTCATGGATTATTATCGTTTCTCCAACTAGTTACGATGGATAAAGTTTTTAAAGTATTATATAGTTCTGTACTTACACTTAATAAAATTTTATATTCTGTAATAGCGTTATAAGCACTTTTATAAATAGCCAATATAAAAAATATAAAATTAATATCATGTGAATTATAAATGATTAAAAAATAATACAGTGAAATCAGATCATTTGAAAAATTAATTATTTTTCATTTTAATAAATCCATCACTAGTATTTTAAAGCATCATAAATCAAACAATTCATCCGTACTATTTCTTAAGTTGCNACTAAACTCAATTTACCCGCCTAAACGTCCGTAGCGTGGCGCTACAGATGGTGGGAAAGTAGTTTGGCTGCCCGATGACGTTTTACGTAATTACAGGAGTTTTTTTACCGTTGTTTACGGATACCGCCACAATTTTTTCGCTGTCTTATAGGAATCGTACCTATAGGAAACAGTTTTATAGGGGGATCTACTGTATATGGATCCTCCGGAGTTAATAGAGATCGGGAAATTAAAAGTTTTACGATGCACAACTAATATCTTATGGATAGCAAATTTACTGTCAGGATACTTGTTATTTTAAAAATGTTTTATANTATAGTTCTGTACTTACACTTAATAAAATTTTATATTCTGTAATAGCGTTATAAGCACTTTTATAAATAGCCAATATAAAAATTATAAAATTAATATCATGTGAATTATAAATGATTAAAAAATAATACAGTGAAATCAGATCATTTGAAAAATTAATTATTTTTCATTTTAATAAATCCATCACTAGTATTTTAAAGCATCATAAATCAAACAATTCATCCGTACTATTTCTTAAGTTGCTCTACTGCTTTGTTGCAAAAAGCAGTTTGTAAACTTCTCAACAATGAACAAATCAAACTAATCAAACTTACAATATCAATTAAACTTTTAAAATGTTTATCGAACTTTAACGCTATTTATTTTCGTTTTGATTATATATAAATTAAAAATTTTACACCTTTAAGAAAACATTTCTTTAAAACCACCGAACACTGGCAGTTAGTCATGATTTCGGGCATAACCAACGGGATGGCCACACGTGGAGTTTTCCGGATTTTCTTCACGTTAGTAACGCCTAAATAGGGTCGAGCTTTTCTCGGATGCATTACCATCGACAGACAATTCACGTGTCGCATTGCCATAACCAAATAAACCAAACTAATTCTAACGAGCGGTTATTTATTGTGACATGGTCACAATGCCAGGCTGAAACTTTTCGTAACAATGTTCTCAACTGTTTTAGTGGTGGTCTTGCCCCTGTACATCATATTTTTCCTGTTAGCAATAGAGTGGTGTCGGTCATCCATCTAAATCTGTTCAGAAGAAAATTTTGAATTGAAGTGCTCTATTTTGGTACATATTTTTAGATGTAGGAAGCTTTTATGCAGTTAATCAGAGTCTCCTGCCCTGAGCTTTCTACGATGAGCTCAATACAGATCTATCTAACTCCTTTCTCGAGATTAAGGAAGAACAGACAGACAGCCAGGCGGACGACAGTTGGAATTTACAGGTTTGCAATTCTTTCAAATTGTAGCACAATGATTTTTCTATAAACGCGGTATTTACGAGAATATACTTCCCGCTTAGTTCATACAATCTGTTGCCAAACTATAAACACTTTATTATCAAATAATCTATCCGTCACGTATCACTTTTTAAATATTAATAGTAGACCAGTAATAATGAGTAGTCCTCTCTTCTGGAAGGAGGTCAACTACTACTTTTGGTCGAATTAATTAACTACAAATTCCTTCTACAAGAGACACTTTTTCCGATCGACCCAGCGATATGGTGGAATTCGTAAAGGAAAATTACATAATACAATGTTACCGGCAAGCACAAAATATGTTCTGAGTGGTTTTCAAGGATGCCGAGTTTAAATATTTGGTCCGTTTTTCGCGAAATTTAATTCGTTGGCAGATTATCGTTAGATATTTGGCTGTGAATGGTACAGTTTCTAAGAGTTAACATTAAGTAAACATATTTCTTAAAATTTTTTAAATATAATATTTTCAATTGGTGTCTACTTAACCAATGAAATTGTGCCATTTCGTACCTTCCAAGTATGGCAGTCAAGTTCAAAAATCACAAACGTTTATATTAACGATTAAAACTTACATACAGTTAGGACGTTACAAAAATAAAACAATTACAGTAATCCAGATATAGCAAAGTTCAAATGTCAATTAAACCACAACAACAGGTCCGTCGAAAAGGACTCCTTGCGACGTATTCCTTCAGACGTTGGTTACCGCATAGCGAGACGAAACAATTCCGACAGTTTCTCGGGGACATCGCGGCCGAGGGACCCGGGGACCCGGGCCCCGGTCGTCAGGGTCTCCAACTCCGGACGATCGGTGTGCCCGCGGATCAACATCTGCCGCCGGACGAGCCCTATTTCGATGTTCCCGTGCACGAGGGCGACGAAGAGGAACGGCAGGGGGATGACGACCGCCCAGTGAGTAGTGCAGCTTGTGTATAGTGCGCGTGGCCAAAGGATACCTATTTGCGGATGTGAAACCTGGATTATGTGATTTTTCAGACAACATCGGGCGCCAACAACACCTTCGTCATCGACCCCCAGGACCTAGCCGAGGCGGAGACCAGCGGCCTCACCCACGCAACATCGGAAATAGGCTAGGTGTCGCCAGGTAGCGAAAGGACGTGGTGGGAGACGCAGGAAGAGACGCTGTTGAAGGTGAGTGTACAATCTGGTTTCAAAACGGTTTTCTATTAGCCTAAGTAGTGACAATCACCTCCGAAGAGGTAGGTCAGGTGTTTTGGACAAGCCGCGAAAGCGGCGCGTAGTACTAGCCGACCGCGATCGAAACCGAGCGTGTCGGTGAATGAGGGGCCCTAGGCCCCGAGGTCAAGGATGAGCACGGGGTCGTGCGAAAAGGACCTAACTCGGCAATAATTAGACTGTAGTAACATTAGAATAGGTCGATAGGCTTAGCGGTGCTTAGTACGGTAGCCGACCGGGCGAGCGAAACCCAATGTGTCGGCGAATGAGGGATCCTAGACCCTCCCGAGGTCGAGGAGGAGCGCGGGGTCATGCGAAAAGGACCTAACTCCTTAGACTGTAGTAACGTTAGAATAGGTCGATAGGCTTAGCGGTCGATAGGCTTAGTAGAGAGAGCGACGCGACTCGTCGATCCCGATCGCCGGAAATGACGTAGGCGATTCTTTACAAGGCTATATCTCGTAAAGGGTCGCGCGTAGGGGTATGGTTCCTTTGACTTTTTCGTTCGCACGGAGGGGGTCTTCAATTCGGGGGGGTAGCCGATCCGCTCATTCGCAGGGTAAATTGTGGCTAACATGCGGTCATGTGACCCGTAGAACAATTTTCGGAGGGCTATATCTCGCGAAGGATCGCGCGTTCGGGGGTGGTTCATTAGACATTTATTGTTCGTAGGGGGAGGGCTACCCTTTGGGGGTGGCGACCCCCTCATTCGGAGGGTAAATCTTATCCAAACTCTTTATATGATTTTCGTTTTAATGTTTGTTATATTATAGTATTTGATTTATATAACTACAAAGGTTATCTTACGTAACGGTTTATTACACCGAGAGACCAATTTAACACATTTTAAAAATACTTTATTCCTCTATTGTACACAATTTAAATAATTTTTAAAATGTGTTAGATTGGGCACTCGGTATGATAAGCTGTTACGTAAGAAAACTTTAATCATTTAAATCAAATACTGTAATGTAACATAATAGAAGGGTTAGACGTACTAAATAATATAATAATCTTAAATTAATCTTTGCTGTTATTATTTTTTGTTTTATCATTATGCCCGAGCAACGTTGGCGTATCTGCTAGTTATGTATATTTGATTATATTGATTAATATATCATATTTATGCTAAATACTTTTAAATTGGTCAAGTGATTATTTTTGGGAACAAATTAAATTTATTATTTTATTTCATATATTCATATATGTTCTTTATAAATTGTGATTTTATTATATTATATATATTTATTAAAATAATACTATATGTTTATTTCTGGAAAGTTATTTTTGTATAAATTTAAAAAAAAATAATAGTCATTCTATAATATACGTATATTGAATTGGAAGAAAATGCTACACTTTTCCTTTTTGATGGAAATGTCAGATGCAGTTGTCTTATTTAGGTAGACAACTGCATATGATGAATTTGTTATTCGCATCGACTTTGGATGGAATATCAACTTTGTCCACTAAAAAGGAATAAATTGCGCAAGAGAAAGAATCTTCATAGTCCAGAACGTCGTGACAGAACAGGATCATACACGTGGGTGGGTGTTTGGTAAGAATGTACACTTGTCGTTCGATAAAATTGTTTATTGAGAGGGAAAGATACTATTCTCGGTTTATTGCCGACCTTGACAAAAGTTCACAAAGTTCGATTCTCCTCGTTTTATCGATTACTCGTTTAAGTCGAGAGAGTTCGAAAAGAGGTGGAAAGTTCTGTATTTGCAGAGTAGAGAAGGGCAGTCGTTGTCGTCGAAGAGAAGTACAAGAAGACAGTTCGTCGAACTGTGTGTTCTTATGCTTCTCTTCGACGACAACGCCAACTTCTCTTCTTTTCAGAAAAGTCGGCGGCGACGAGGAGTACGGCAACAGCACAGAATTAATCCAAGAAGGCCGAAGGGTCGGATAGAAACAAACCAAGAACCTCCCAGTTCTTGGGACACGGAATTTTATAAGAATTGACCCTCGATCGCACATCCCGATTTGTTTCGGTCTCACGTTTTCACTTCTTGATTGAAATCCCGGCCTTCGTCCTCATATCATGATTGGTCTTTGGAGCCGCCCATAAATTAAGTAAGGTATTTTGAGGTGGGTGGGAGTCAAGGATTTCTTACACTTTCTTACTCAGGGGTAGGGGTAATAGATCTCGTCTTACGTAATATTCTTCTTATTATTTTTTGATCTCGTTGAGTGGTGGTGTTTTGAATTTGGCTTCAATTTGGCGGTTTCTATTTAGAACGCTCGTTGTCTCGTGTGACGTGATAGAATAATAACGCTAGCAGATTCACGCTCTACACATTTTTTATCATGGGAGAAAGGCCGTGTGGTGGTTTCTCTCTCTTGTTTTTTATTAGAATAAGTGCACTAATCCTATGGGTGTATAAAACTTAGAATACATAAACCAAAATACATGATACAAAGTAAACATAAAATTAAACATAAACATAAAATTATTTGGCTTTTAGTGAAAACTAAAATGCTAAACTAGAAATTAGAAATTATAAATAGTCTTTTCTTCAATATTTTTTGAACATAATTGTAAAAAGCATCAAACAGTGGTTTCTGAATAAGCTTATCGATTGGACATTGCCAGCTGAAACTAAGCGTAAAAATTTCTAATTTCAGAATAAGTCTATCGTGATCGTAAATTGAACAATGATAGGTCGACGGTGTCTAGGTTTTCTGTAGAGCAAAAACAAGAAGCAGTTTCTGCCCGGTTATACATCGCCTGGTAGCTTCTAAAATTACCATGCTCAGTAAGTAGTTGAGCAGTAGCAAATGTTAGATCTCTAAGTCAGGGGGTGTCCAACCCGCGGCCCAAGGCACGTTCCAATGCGGCCCAATAAACGTGTAAACAAAATCGACAAATTGTTTTATTTTTTTTATTTATTTATTTCGACGGCATAAACTCAAAAAAGAAGTTTCACAAAGCCGTAAACTTTTATACATATTTTATTTTTGAGTGAAAAGGAAATATTTTCAAATACTTGGAGATGTGTGAATGACAAAGGAATACTAAATAAAGCTGAAGTTGTGACTCAAAGGATTATAGACACCAATTTGAGTAAAAGTGAGAAAGGCCAAAAGATAAAAAGTAGTGAGAAAGGTTAAATAGACCTTCTGTTATGCAAATATTGACCCTTAATTTTCCAACCTTCCTCACTACTTTTTATCTTTTGGCCTTTCTCTGCTTTTCTCAAATTTGGGTCTATAATTCTTTGAGTTCCAACTCCAACATTATTTAGTATTTCTTTCACCGTTGCAAGATTTGGCTACTTTGCGCCAAATTTGGCTACCCTTTTTTAGTTTGGCGTAAAAATTATCATTTGACGCATTGGCTACTTTCTGGGTTACATATTATTTATAAATATAGGCCTATTAGTCGAATAAAAATGCACTTTAAAATGGTGTTTCGTCGTTTTTTTATTAATTAGATACCCAAATAAAATAAATATTTGTGTTTTTCAAATAAAGTTTTGTTTGCCTCCTTTATAATAAATGAATTTATCTATTTCTACGTAAAAATTGAAAGTATCTGTAGAAGTAATGTTTTAAAATATCCTTTTTCGTGATAAAGTTTTAATACTTATTACTTTAATCTAGATATGTTAATCTTTAAATATATTTGTATATTTAAGGATTGGGTCACAAATATATTATATATATTTGTGGCCCAAAACTCCATGACTTCTTCCAATGTGGCCCAGAGGAACAAAAAGGTTGGACACCCCTGCTCTAAGTAGTGATGAGAACCTACATTCAACAATAGGAAAATATTGCTATTCCACCAGTTTTACTGCTCAACTACTTTTACTGATTCCACTTTTGCCCAGCGTTGTCATGAATATAATTTTTAAGGCTGCTACGTGATAGAGGGATGTGAGTGTCAAAATCCAAATCCAAAGTCCAAATCAGTGTCCTTTGCAGCTGACTTAGCCTCAAAGTCGGCTTTTTCATTTCCTAGTATGCCAGTATGGCCAGGAACAAATATAAAAGTTATCTTATTTACTAGATTTTTAATATGGTGCTAGATATATGTGATTTTATTGGTATTCCAATTGGGATTTAATTGAGCTTTTAGGGCAGACTGAGAATCACTGTAAATGTTGATAGAGTTTTGTTTGGTAGTGAAGTGGTCCACTGAACAACTTGTTAGTCAGCATTTTCTTCAGCTTGATAGATGGAGGTATGTGGGAGGTATCTATACCTTCTAACATATTTTTGGCAAAATAGTCAGTTTGGAGGAAGATACAGATACTTGAGCCGACGAGAAGGGAGCTTTTGGACCCATCTGTGTAGATATTAATGTCTGCATGAAGGAAGCAGATGACACCAAATAACCTTGTTTACAGGATGATGATCAGAGATAGTAGGGTAATTGCAATGTGGTAGCATATGAACAGCCGTAGATAGGAGTAGAAACCGTTATTGAGCCTTGACGTTTGTAGTTCTGATGTAGTTGTTTAGAACCCTTTCTACATTACATAGTGGAAAGGAAGGAGCTCTGCCAGTATCAGAGACGCTTTAGCAGCACTTTGAAATTCTGATGCAAACTGGCTTTGAAGAGCGAGTAATTTACTTGCTACTGAATTTTTACTAGTTACATGACCACAGCTAGATGCCACGTAAAGTAGCATTGGTTGTATTGCCCCATTATATAGAGTTTTATAAGCTTTATGATTTAGTCCCCAGGTGCACCTAGCACATTTTAGCAGCATGTAGTTTGTTTTATTGGCCTTAGCCATGATGTAATCAATATGGCAAGAGAATGTGATTTCTCTCTATTCTCTCTTGTTTTATCTTGAATGACATTTCTGTTTACACGTGCACTAGATAGTCGATCTGGCAAAGTTTTTTGCGTCTTTTGAGAAAATTAAAATTAATGTAAAAATAAATATTATGACGTTGATTAATGATAATAATAATATTGTTAATAATTAAAAAATAAAGTTCTTAAAATAAATTGTTCATTCGAATTCATTAAATTTTTATATTTTTAAATTTGTTCACATAAAGTCTTTTACAAATAATAGTACAGTACATATTAATTAACTTATTAATAATTATATATTTTGGACCTAAGGTTTTTAGGGTTTCATAAAGAAACTTTTTTTGGTTAAAATCTTTCTATAAAATCATGCTAATATATTACGTAAGATAGGGAACGGGAGGGGGATCAAAGAAAATATTACGGTTTCTTACACAGGGGTGGGTGGGGGTCTAGAGTGACCGAAATCGCCCTTACGTAATTTATAGACGGCCCCTTTAGCCCGTTTCCGTGGGGGGGTAGTTGGTAATTCGAGACCGACTCAGGCCATGGGAAGGTCGACGACGACTTTTGATCTCAACCGGAATGTTTACTGACTTACATAGTTTAAATCAAGAGTTATGTACTGTACAGTACTTACAATATTTCTTTTCGCCAAGTTATTATTAAGGATGCACCGATTAATCGGTAAGTAATCGGTAATCGGCCATATCGGCCATTTTCCCGATTAATCGGTATCGGCCATTTCCCCCGATTAATCGGTTTTAATAATCGGCCAATTTTGTATTTTAATATTTTTGTTAGAATGTCACGTAAAAGGCTAATAATAAAAAATATTAAATTTCTGTTATATATTTATTATTTATTACATGACAATCTAAATATTAAAAAAAATTTNCGGTAGACTTACTTTTACAATTAGGTGCAACACAATAACCCATTGCTTAACGTTTTAAGTACGTATATAAGTAATAATAGTCGACTCATGCAAGAACCACGTATGGTGAGCTCTATCGACGAGTCCCAAAATGGCAGCTGCCGCATAGAATCACGGGAGCGTGTCCTGACCTTCTTATACAGACCTTGATGTAAAGTACTGTACAGTACATCCACCCCTGCATCTGCGGAGGATGGATAAGGTACTTATTGTACTGTACTTGTCGTTCTCTCCTTTACAAATGTCATACCCAGGGGCAGACTCTGGTTTGACATAGTACACAGCTACCGGCGTCAACCGAATATAACTCACTAAATCCAACATAATAATAATAGGGGTGCCGGGAATTTTGTTTAATGATTTTGGTGTGCCTCCAGACAAAAAAGTTTAAAACCATTAGTCTAAACTCTAAAGTATAAAGAATCTCCTAAGTTCCAACATGGTAGTGAATATAATGATAAAATTGATAGAAATAATTGAAAATATACTTAGAGTTATACATGCGGTAATATTGTAACATCTACCAAAAAAGTGTGCAATAAAATTTTATTATAAAACTTCTATTCTAATCCTAATTCTTTTCCCGCGCTTCCAGCCGGAGGTGCTCGAATTCCCATTAGCCGTTCTACGCTCTTCCGCTTCACTGGCATGGGCCAAATATCCCATGTCCAGAAGTGTCTGTATATATCGACAATCTTTAGACAGAATATGTATTCCATTTTCGGTAGTTATTACAATAAATCCAGGCGAACGGGTATATCCGAAAGGAATTACACGAATAACTCAAAAAAATCTCTAAAAAAAGCATACCAGTCGAATCCAACATACGAAAGATTTTTATTCTCGAAAATAAACGAAGTTTGAACGAAAGTCTAAAGATTTTATTACAATTTAACTACTTAGACCAGTTTCTAATTCTATGTCACGACTTGGTGCATTTATCGACACTTGGCAAATAGTTTCATCATCCACTTTTAATTCATACAGATACGCGTTTCGGACTTTCGCCCCTTTTCAGTCTGTTACTTCGGTAAGTTGTATCCCGTATCAGTCAGGCACCTTCCGTACTTCCCTCCCCTCCCCTCCCCTCCCGACTTGACGGTCTCTCCCGCATGCCTCGTAACTTGTAACGTCTCACTTCCCCGAGTGCTGCATACATCCTCGCCTGCGACCGTATAAACATTCTACAGTATTTTAATAATTGTAGCCAGTTTTTATGAATGTCAATGTTGTGACATAGAATTAGAAGAAACAAGAAGAAGAAGAAGACACGGTTTCCGCAGATAAATACTTAGACCAGTGCAGCGGCGGCCTTATCCATTGCGAGGCTCTGGGCGGCAGATCTTTGCGAGGCCCTTGTCCTTTGTGCAAAGTATGTGAATTGAAATAGTAGGCACTTATTAATATTAATATATACTGTACTATAAATTAAATTTATTTTATTGTTATAACTAATAGCCAAGGATAAAATAAAAAGTTTTAAATATCAACTTTTTTCTACTTGGTTGTTGCGCGAGGCCCCTCCAAGAGCGAGGCCCCGGGCGATTGCCCTGCTCGCCNAAAAACAATTTTCTGGGCGATATAGTAAAACATTATATTAAGAATAATTAGATATTTTATTCGTTATATAGTACAATAATTAAACAAAAAACACTATACTAGTCACTAGTCTATTCGATGCAGTACGAATTTGACGTTAGCCTTGGCCCTCGGCATCGTAATTTTGTAGTGAACGGGGCGATACTACATAACGGTTTTATTGATGGGGACGATACTACTTTGAAGGGGGTGACGATTCGTTAGAGGTTGAGAAACACTGACTTAGACGGAACGGCGACAGAGACCACGTGACACGGAGCGATGTAAACAGAAACCACGTGGACGCGGCTAATTTACAAATCCAGGCGGCGATAATAAAAAAGAAATTTTTTTCGAACGATACCAGAATATTATTTATCGAAATAGCTTTTTATATTATTTACGTAATTAAATAATTTAAAAAAAAGCAAAAATAAACGTAAGTTAATTATCGGAGTTTGACGTCTTCTGCGGTACTGTACCGCTTCGCGCGGGAAAAACAGTCGGTAGTCGAGTGTTTGGTGACGATTTTCTGTTCGGAGGAAAGAAAAAACGATGATGAGTTCACCTGGACGGAAGGTAAGCGTTAGTTTAATTAAGCTTGGTTATTTTTGATGTAGAGGAAAGAAAGAAAAAACGATATTAGCCGCCACACTCTGTGTCCTAATAGAATTACAGTGTTTAGCCAGACGATTTATCGTGGCGGTTTCGTACGGTCAAAATGATATAATGACGTATCTAATGACGTAAAGAGCAACCCGCTTCTAAGCACGACATATTATACAGTAGCAATACGTAGTGGACCACAGGGTGGAAAGAGAGTCTGCTGAAACTCATCCACCATGTTACTCTGTTCACACCTGACATGTGTCACAACCTGTCAACCTTTTTTTTTTCTTTTGCATGTACATGTCTTCTATAGAGCTAAGTTACCTTTTCTTTCTTTCTAGCCAGAATTGACATTTTAGAGCAGGGGTGGCCAACATGAGGACCATGGGCCGCATGCAGCCCGCCGGGAGTCGTGTTGCAACCCACGGAGCTTGGTCAAATAAACATAAATGTTAACTTTATTGTACATATCACCAAATGAACATTAGAAGAATTAAGAAGGTTTGGAAGAGTTCTATGAAACATATTTGGACAAGGATAAATATCCTGCGTTTTACAAACACGCTCTGTCGATGGTTTCGCTATTTGGAAACACTTATGCGTGTGAACAACTTTTTAGTCGCATGAAGTACATCAAATCACAAGTGAGAACATGAATTACTGATGTTCATTTGCAAAACTGCATGTAGCAACAACATCAGTTGAGATTAATTTTGATGCACTTAGTCCTGTAAAACAAAGTCAGATGTCTCACTTTTAAATTGTTTAATAAATATGTTTCTCGGTTATTAAATAAATGATTCTCGGTTATGTTTTATTTTCTTTAAAAAAATAAATATACCTATTTTTTCTGTTTTTTTTTTTTTTTACATTAAACCAGGCATGTGTTTGACCACGATCTCACCTACTGGAAAGCAATGATGTGGTTGAAGCTGTAGCACGCTTGCTTGTTTACTTTAATTAACAAAAAAAATTATGTGCGTGGACTCGGCAGGAAATATTATTTCTGAAATTTGGCCCGCCTGCTAAAAAGATTGGCCACCCCTGTTTTAGAGTTTCCTTTAAAAGAGGTTTTGTTTTTCATCCATCTGCCTTGGCCACCTACCCTTTTGACAGGCAGGCTGCCTGTGCTCGGATCCTGGTTTAGTGGTTAACTGTCGGGCTCATCTGGGTTTCGCCACTCCCCAGAGCCCGTCCTCAGGCCATTCCAGCGGTACGGGCGAAAGCATTTGTTTTGGGCTCCGGCAGCTTCCTCAGAAGGCTGGCTCACCAGTGGGATGGCACTTTCCATTATGGTGCCGCCGCCACGGGAATCTGGTGCTTTGTGGGTGTTGTGGGATGCTGCCAAAGTCAATATACTGGTCCTTGTATTGCCAATAGCTCCAATACTGGCATAATAAATATTTTTGCCACTTCCAGCGTGTCCAGGGTGTAAGTTTGGTTTGAGTATATGGAGAGTCTGCTGTAAATGTTTGAAATTCTTTTAGTGTATGAAATTTTCTCATTTTTTACTCTGATATTGCTTTTTGTTCTTTTTAGAAGACTGCTTATAAATATTATTTTTAATTCAGTTTTGAACATTATTTATTTATGATAGAAACAAATATTAACAACATTAAATTGATTAGACTGTTTTTTTGCTTACAATTTGTATTCATTTTAAAATAATTTTGGGAATTTTTGTTAAGGGTAAGAAAAGATGTGCCTAACTAACTTTTTTTAACTATATATTATTATGTGATGTTCTCGTTGAAACTTTTGAGTCAGGAATAAAAGGGGTCAAATGAGAGTTCTATACAATTCCAAAATTAAATTTATGTAAATGGTCATGCAGATGTAGGTTAGGTTAGTGTTACAAAAATGGGATTTAGAGTGGATTTTGAGTGTGTCAATTTTAAGCTCATGTTATTAATAGTTGAATTGTTGCAAGACGCAGTGACAAGGAGCTAGATAGAGTAAAGTTGAGCTTCTATCTACTATCTCATTAGATAGAGAGTAAAGTTGAGCCAGGAACAGGTTAGAGAGAAAAGGATTAAAAGTCAATAGAGATCAGTCTTTTAGAATCAGATATATCAAATTGGAATCAAATTGGGCTGTTAGAAGAAGGAGAATGAATGTCTTGACTTCAAGTCAGTTTAAAAAATAGAATGAAAAGTGATAAGAGTCCAAAAGACATTACTTGATGTTTTAATCGTATATATAATTTGTATATGCCTGCTTATAAACAAGAAAAGATGTCAGTAGGCTATTAATTAATAAATCTGTTTTCATATTCTACTTTTAATGGTGCAGAATCTTATAAACTACTAAATATAGAAAAACAACGTGAATGTCATAAGAAATTGCGTGCAGAATCTTAAGAAAATGGTGCAGAATCTTAAGAAAATGGTGCAGAATCTTAAGAAAATGATGCAGATTAAGAAAATGATTATAAACTACTAAATATAGAAAAACAACGTGAATGTCATGACTTGAATATACAAGAGGTTGCATTGCTTATTCCATATACAAGAGGTTGCATTGCTTATTCCAAGAATACAAAAGTGTAAGATGTCCCAAATACTGTTTATCACTGTTGAATCAAATAGAATTGTGTACTTATGTAGGATTACAATTATTTTAAGAATAAAGTTTGCCTTTGAGTTAAATTTCTGTGGCTGCTTAAATGCATTAGAGGATAATTATGGTTTTCGCAATTATATTGTCATAGATATGCAATGAAAAATACAATATAGCAAAAATGGAAATGCATGATTTATTAAAGAGATACATTGTACAAAGAAATTATGCACTAAACTTGAATATACAATATGTAACAATATAACAGTTTTAAATTAAGATATTTAAAAATCTGTTATTGTTTTTAATTTTTATTAAAAGTACAGAGATACATTAAATTTTAAAATAAAATTTAATTTATCAAAATCTGAAAAGTAGTAGTTGATGATGATTGATATGCTAGTATTTTGCAAACAGTTTTAAATGTTCTGACCCATTGGAAAAAAAAACCTATTGTTTTGGGAAGTTTTCTGTGCTTTTTAGACTCATAACTCTCAATATGACGTAGAAGCTTTGACATTCGGAGGTATTGATCACATGATTCCGTTCTATCTTTCTGATTTAAAAATCATTCCAAACCAATGTTTTTTCGTATTTAATAACGTTTTCAAATGATTCTTTACCTGAAGGACCCAGGAGGGGTCTGAAAACATTTGTAGTGTTAAATTTTAATGCATCAGTTAGATTTTCTGAGGTACGTGTTGTTTAGTTTACTCCAATGTGCAGTTGTTTATTATTATTTTTACTCATTTGAACAAGCAAGCAAGCTGAGAATTTCTAGCACGTACAAAAAAATGCAGCCTACATACCACGTAGAAATGTAATATGGCAGTAGTTATAGTACTTTTATGATTATATTTAGTGCATCCAAGAAAGTACAAATTTAATTTCTTTAAGAGTAATATCCCATCAATGATATCAGAATAGGAATGTTTTGTAACATTCAACAACTTTTGATTTGTAATTTTTTTCTGCCCAATTTAGTAAATTGAAAACCTTTCCAGATGGCAGTTAAATTTCCCTGTGATATTTTTTGTTCGTTAGCATAGCAGCCAGGGGACATCAATGAAAATCAGTTAATTGCTGCACTCTGTACATTTAATTGAGGGCTTGACTTTATGGACTACATAGCCTGCCAAGTAATGTATTATATAGTCAAAGATTTCTTGTGATACAAATCATGGTCTGCAAGTTCAGAGATTAATTTAAAAAATGCAGTTAAAACACAAATTTTGTGACAAAAGCTGCTTTGACAATTCCAGAAGGCTGGCCAATGTTAAGCAGACTTCACAAAGTCAGGTTACTAAGAAAGCCTGGTAGGGGAGTCACATGCAGAAAGATATCTCTTTCCTTTAGTGTTCTCTTTAAATAAGTCTAATAAGATTGAACAAATGTGCTGGATAAGTAATAGCCAATTTTAAATCCATTTAGAAAACTTTAAATTTTAAACAAGTTTTATCATTTTTTTTATACAGGCAATTTTTCTTCAAAATTAACATTGTTATAAAGCCATCCTATAATTATTCCTATCTATATTTTTGTGTTGGAGATAAACAATAAGGTATGTGTAAATTATTTAAATTAAATGAGTTTTTATTTAAAAATTTTCTTATAGAATTATAATGTAAACCTGCTGAAGATGGTCCATCAGGTCTATAACACAAATATGGATTATACAGATAAAAAATAAAACATTTTGTTTTTCTGAATAAGATCTCTATTTGCTAAAATGAAAACACCAGTATAATAAGTCTTATTACTGTACAGAATCCAACATAGACAATGATTGTGAATAATCAAGAATTTAATGAAGACATAAGAGGCAAAAGAATTGTACTACTGTTTTATGCTATTTCTACACGTTATACCTGATGCTGATAGATCAGAATGTGAATTTGATGGATCTTCAATTGCACCAGCTAGTTACTTCAAAAAGCAAATAATTTATTAATGTTTTTAAACATCATTATTAAAAGGACATTTTACTTACTTGATACTGTTGCACTTTTGAATTATTATTTATGTTGGCAGTAGTTTTCCTTTTGCTTGGAGACTGCCATAATTTAGGAACTTTAACTGATAAATGACAGGCAATTGAGAAAATTTAAAGGATAAGCATCTTGTGTTAGTTGCCATTTTCCATAGGAAATCTCAGCTCTTTTACCCTCAATTATATGAATGTAATTGTTAATCAGAAATCTTTCATCAAAATGCTAGTCACATATTTGAGATTTTCTTGTTGTAAAGTTTTTCAAGGAATTAAACATTTCCATTTATCTAACTGCTTCGGAGGTGGTGTAAAAAATGCTGCTTTTCATCAGATTTACAGTAGACTTACACCCAGGTGCAAAACATTTATATGGCATGTTTGTTTCTTTTTCTCAGAGAAAAATTACAAAATGTATGAAAAT